GGGGGGGGGGGAGAGAGAGAGGGATGATACTGCGCTTATCTGCACACACGATCTTTATCTCCCTTTAACGATCTCCGAACTTCGGCTGACTGAAGGTTCTCAAACTTGGTTGTTCTGTTGTTTTTTGTTTTTGTTTTTTTTTTAAAATTATTTTTGTTAGTGATTTTCTTTGACTCCACCCTGAACAGCAACCTCATTTTTTTGTTTAACTCTTAATGTAAAATTTTGAGGAAGGGGGAGGGGGGGGGGGGCTTTGTGTGTGTGTGGGTGTGTGGGGGTGGGTGGGGGGGGGTGTCCCCATTCATGTTTTTCACAATGCATTCACAATGCATTAAAGCTTTAAATAAAACCACCAAACCATCATCATTATTTTGATTCGATAATATGTATATATATATATAAATATATAAATATATATATATATATATATATTAGTTTAATGGTCATTTAACAAGGTATGAAAATTTGTTTTTAAAAAGAAAAAGGACCGGCTCTGAAAAGTTTCGGTCAAGACGTATGTCGTGGATGTATAAGAATGCAAATAAATCTAACAGCTGACTAACATGGTCACCATTGTTCCGAAAATCATTTGAGCTTGTTTTTTTTGTTTGTTTTTTTTCCTTCTTGTTGTTATTTTGTTAGGCCAAAGTCTTGTCACTCTTACAATCACGTTGAGTGGTTTGACACATTCATGGCAATGGTGGTGGTGGTTTTATTGAAAAAATGTTAACAAACCTGGTGGCCAGGTGTAGGTTAATCCAGGTGTATGTTAATCCAGGTGTATGTTAATCCAGGTGTATCTTAATCCAGGTGTATGTTAAGCAGGTGTATGTTAATGGGGCATATTATATGACTTGTGCCTATTTGAAATGCCTTCCCGAACCACTACCCAGACCCCCACCCTTACGTTGACATATGTATGAAATCAGATGGTCCCAGTATTCTGTGATCGAATTTGGGGTTTATTGCTTCAATCACATTGTGACATATTACTGTCTTCACATTGTGACATAGTCCTGTCTTCACATTGTGACATATTACTGTCTTCACATTGTGACATAGTCCTGTCTTCACATTGTGACATATTACTGCCTTCACAATGTGATTTATTACTGTATTCACGTTGTTTCATATTACCGTCTTCAAATTGTGACATACCGTTTGTACTCTTATCCCTTGATCTTATCCCTTAATCAAATCTTGACAACTGCGCCCCCTTTTTTTATTATTGGTTAAATGTTTGGCTTTCGGTGCGCCCCCCCCCCCCCAATTTCAAACACCGGCGCCAATAACGGCTCCGTGCCAGAGTCTGGCGATAACCGCCCAGCCGTGTTATGTTACCAAGGATCAAAGCCTGTCGACACATGTTCCACGCCCGCGGTTTAATGACTGAGAACCATCGGATTGTTATCGGCGTGCCGCTTGGGGTAATAACAATTAACGTTGAGATTGATGCACGCGCGCGTGGCTGCAGCTTTACTGGAGTTTAATTTTGGTGTGGGTGTGGGGGTGGGAGGGAGGGGGGTCTGGTGACGTCGTAGTAAACTCCCCCCACCCCAAATCCTCCGACTAGTCCCAATAACAATCCCCCCTCCCTATAAAAAAACCGCCAAATTTATCCCACTATTCCCACCAACTACCAACCCACCTCTCAATAGTCCCACCAACCACCCTCCCACTAGTCCTAATAACAATCTTCCCCCTCCCTAGTTCCATTAAAAAAAAACCGCCAAATTTATCCCACTATTCCCACCAACTACCAACCCACCACTCAATAGTCCCACCAACTACACTCCCAACTAGACCCACCAACCCCCCTAACGCTGCCCCCGCCCCTCCCCCAAAATCGAAGGTACCAATCCCAAACTCAATAGTCCCACC